CCCTAGGACCCAGGAGTCCAGACCCCAGCCTCTACCTCCCTAGGACCCAGGAGTCCAGACCCCAGCCTCTACCTCCCTAGGACCCAGGAGTCCAGGAACCAAGCTCTCACCTCCCAGCTTCCAGGAGTGAAGCCCCCAGCCCTTACCTCCCCAGGACCCAGGAACCCAGACCCCAGCCCCCACCTCCTCACATCCCAGGAGTCCAGACCCCAGCCTCTACTTCCCTAGGACTCAGGAGTCCAAGTCCCCAGGCCTCACCTCCCCAAGACCCAGGCCCATAACCTCCACCTCCCCAGGACCCAGCCTCCACCTCCTCAAGTCTCAGTAGTCCAGGCCCCAGCCCCTGCCTCCATAGGACCCAGGAGTCCAGGCCCCAGCCACCAGCTCCCCGGGACCCAGGAACCCAGGACCCAGCCTCCACCTCCCCAGGTTCCAGGAGTCCAGGCTCCAGCCACCGGCTCACCAGGACCCTGGAGTCTGGGAGGTTCTGTTCTCTCCTCCCTTCCAACTAACCCTTCTCTACCTGCTAAGCTCTTGTAGCCTCGAGTCTGTCGGAATCCAAAGTCTCTTGGAAAAAAATTCATACTGCTAGTTATCAGCTCTTCCTCTTCTAAATGGATAAATACGAACTCAGAGCCTGGGCAGGCTGAGGCCAGGGCTAGCCATCCCCTTCCCACCCCAGGATCCCAAAGCATCCCCAGGATCCTAGAGCACCCCAGGATCCCAGAGCCCCAGCTCAGCCTCACCCAGGAGGCCCAGCGGCTGCGCCCTTGGTTCCTTGGAGTCACTCATGTTTCCCCCACCGTCCCTCAATTTCCAGAACTTCTGGGGACCACAATGCTGATTTCCCACCCCGCGATTCTCACTCCCTAAATCTCTTCTTACTGAGGAAGAAAAACAGGAAACTGGGTAGGGATATAACACCCAAAAGGCCGGTGGGAGGGGTCAGAGCATGAGATGGCCCTGACCTTGCAGGAATTTCAAGGAGCTGGTGGGGAATGGTCCGAGGTTGACAGGGAGAAGGATTCGTCCACTCCTTCCATAGTTGAGCTGCGTGTTGCTTTTAATGAAATCCAGTAAGTTCTAATGAAAAGTGACTTCGTTATACCCCTCCACCTAGGGCAGGGATGGGCAGGCAGTACCCCTAGTTCCTGCAACCATCATCCTCCCTGACCACAGGCTTTGTTGCTGTGATCTGCTGATGTCCTCATTTATGAGAATTTTTGCTGACTTTGGGAGTTGGGGCTGAATCAGAATTCCTTGTTTATTTAATGCCTATGATAGTCAAGCACTTTTCTAGTAAGTTTATACGCTCATTCACTTGAATCTTCCTACCCTATGGTAGATCATATGATTTCCGTTTTGCAGATGGGGGATACTAAAGCACAGTGAGGTTATGTAACTGGCCCAAGGTCACACAGCTAGTAAATGGGACATCTGGGATTTGAACCCAGACAGTCTGCCTCAATGACAGTCAAAGACAGTTCACCAAAAGACAGTCAAATGGCATCAAGGAGGAAATAAAATATTCATAATGTCTTTGAATTGTTCCCAAATTCCTAAATTTGGTTCTTTCCAAATTGGAACAACCTGTGTGGTCACCAGTATATATATATATATATCCTTTAAAAAGGAAGGACACTGGCCAGATGCAATGGCTCATGTCTGTAATCCCAGCACTTTGGGAGGCCAAGGCAGGCAGATCATGAGGTCAAGAGTTCAAGACCAGCCTGGTCCATATGGCGAAACCCCATCTCTACTGAAAAAAAAAGAATACAAAAATTAGTCAGGCGTGGTGGTGCATGCCTGTAGTCCCAGCTACTCGGGAGGCTGAGGCAGGAGAGTTGCTTGAACCCAGGAGGCAGACGCTGCAGTGAGCCGAGATCGCGCCACTGCACTCCAGCCTGAGCAACAGGACATTTTTTTTTTTTGTCCAAAAAAAAAAAGAAGAAGAAAGGACATTCTGACACATGCTACAACATGATGAACCTTGAGGACAACATGCTAAGTGAAATAAGCCAGTCATAATAAGACAAAGGCTGTATGAATCCCTTCATACGGGTTCCCCAGAGTCGTCAGATTTATAGAGACAGAAAGTAGAATAGTGGATGCCAGGGGCTGGGGAATGGGGAACAGGGAGTCAGTGTTTCCTGGGAACAGAGTTTCACTTGGGAAGATGAAAAAGTTTGTGAGATGAATGGTGGTGATGGTTGCACAACAACGTGAATCTACTTTGTAAAAGAAAATAAAATTTCGTAGGCTGGGCACGGTGGCTCACGCCTGTAATCCCAGCACTTTGGGAGGCCAAGGCGGGTGGATCACCTGAAGTCAGGAGTTCGAGGCCAGCCTGGTGAACGTGGTGAAACCCCGTCTCTACAAAAAATACAAAAAAATTGCCAAGCGTGGTGGCGGGTGCCTGTAATCCCAGCTACTCAAGAGGCTGAGGCAGGAGAACTGCTTGAACCCAGGAGGCAGAGGCTGCAGGGAGCTGAGATTGCACCACTGCCCTCCAGCCTGGGCAACAGAGTGAGACTCTGTCTCAAAAAATAAAAAAAATAAATAAAAAACCTTTGGGCTCCACCTACTCGACAGATAGATTTTCAAAATTCTATTGAAGGATTTCCAAACAGGTTTTAAAACAAACCTGACAAGCTCATTATTTGGAATATAATAAAGAGGTTATATTCTTTACTTGGGAATAAATAGCAAAGCTACAAGTGGGGACAGTAACCTCTTGAGATGGGAAGATGGGGACGGAATGAGCTTTAGTTTTCACTGTAGAGATTGATACGTTTTGGTTCTGTGTGCACACGTGGCTTATTCCACAAGTAAATGAAAACCTTTAAAGCCAGAGTAGTTTCAAAAATCATCCAAAAATTGCACAAGAATACCTGAGAACATTTTGATAGAGAAGAGCCACGACCAGGCAGGCCATAGTGGCTCATGCCTGTAAACTCAGCACTTTGGGAGGCTGAGGCAGGAGGATGAGTTGAGCCTGGGAGGTCAAGAACAGCATGGGCAACACAGTGAGACCCCATCTCTACAAAAAGTTTTTTTAAAGTAGCTAGATATGGTGATGTACAAGTGTGGTCCCAGCTACTCAGGAGGCTGAGGTGGGAGGATCACTGGAGCCCATGAGGTCAAGGCTGCAGTAGGTCATGATTGCACCTCAGCACTTCAGCCTGGGTGACAGAGCAAGACCTTGTCTCACACACAGAAAGAGCCATGCCTGGTAGTTATCAAAATATATTATAAGCTTGGCTTGGGTTTCCCCCAGTGCAGAGCTTGAGACAAGGATTTGGATATAAGTAGCTTATCTGGGAGGAGATTCCAAGAAGCACCAGCAGGGAACGGGGAGAATAAAGAGAAGCAGGTAGAGAAAGGAAAGAACCCAATACAAAGGCACCAATGAGCTGAAAAGGGCAACTGGGCCCAATTCCCCTGGGAGCCTCTGGGAGACGACACAGAACAAGCCTCACAGTTCCTCTGCCTGTTGAAGGTCAACTCTAAGTAAGATGGAATTTAGCTTACAAGCTGTTTATGAAGGAGCGTCTTTGGGATCAACATCAGTAGAAGGGAAGTGATGAAAAAAATTCTCTAATTCTAACACTAGCTTCCTGGAGTTAGCACCACATTCCACAAGTTAAAGGACTAGCTCCCAAAAGACCGACCCCGCTTCAGATGCCAGGTGCAAAGACAGTGCCTTTGCACTGTCTACCCACACTTATGCCAGGCTGGCAAAAAACTGGGGCTTCCGATAAGCCTATCTTAAGTTCAGTAATTTCCTAGAATTATTTAGAGAACTTAGGAAAACATTTTGCTTATGCTGTTGCTGAACTAAACTGGGTCAGTTCCCTGGCTCACAGTGGAAAATCAAACACTGAAGCACTGGGGTTTTGTAGAGAGAAAAATTTATTCCAAGGCAGCCAAGCAAGGGGACACCAGTCTGGCCCAAATCTGTCTCTCCAAGCTGGGGGCAGGGGCAGATTTTATACACAGAGGATAGTGAGGCATGATGTGATTGGATCTTGTAATGAGGGGATTCAGCAGGCTTGATCTGATTGGATCATGCCCTGGAGTGATGCTAGGGCTCAATCTGATTGGATCACAGATCATGCCACGTGGTGTCCACTTCTTAACTCAGTCCCTGTTCCTCCGTCTGAGCACTTAGGTTCCGCCTGGATCTGCACACTTGGTTCATCTGGGCGTGCCCAGGGTACGTAACTTGCAACCTGGGGGTCCAAGGCAACTGAAAAACAACTCACCATTTTATTACACAAAGTTGAACCAGATTGGGCTGGATCTGCGGTTACAATGTTTACCAGTTTATTATAAAGGATACAACTAGAGGGGCGGGGCAGTGCCACCAAGATGGCTGCGCCCGAGAAGATGACATTTCCAGAAAAACCAAGCCACAGAAAGTACAGGGCCGCCCTGAAGAAGGAGAAACGAAAGAAACGCCGGCAGGAACTTGCTCCACTGAGGGACTCAGGACTCTCACAGGAGGAGGAGGACACTTCTATTGAAAAACAACAGCTAGAAAAGCTATGGGGAAGAGAGAGGCAAAGATTACATGAGGAGTGATTGCTGAGCAGAAGGCACAGGAAGAATTCAGAATAAAGAAGGAAAAGGAAGAGGCGGCTCGAAAACGGCAAGAACAAGAGCGAAAGTTAAAGGAACAATGGGAAGAACAGCAGAGTAAAGAGAGAGAAGAGGAGGAACAGAAACGAGAGGAGAAGAAAGAAAAACAGGAAGCTGTCCAGAAGATGCTGGATCAGGCTGAAAATGAGTTGGAAAATGGCGCCACATGGCAAATCCCGGAACCCCGCCTTGGATTTCAGAGTCATGGAGAAGGATCCAGCTAATTGTTTCTTCTACAGTAAAACAGGAGCTTGTAGATTTGGAGATAGATGTTCACGTAAACATAATTTCCCAACATCCAGTCCTACCCTTCTTATTAAGAACATGTTTACAGCGTTTGGAATGGAGCAATGCAGGAGGGATGACTATGACCCCGACGCAAGCCTGGAGTACAGCAAGGAAGAAACCTACCAACAGTTCCTAGATTTCTATGAGAATGTGCTGCCCGAGTTCAAGAACGTGGGGAGAGGCCGGGCACGGTGGTTCAGGCCTGTAATCCCAACACTTTGGGAGACTGAGGCGGGTGGATCACGAGGTCAAGAGATAGAGACCATCCTGGCCAACATGTTGAAAACCCGTCTCTACCAAAAATACAAAAATTAGCTGGGTGTGCACACTGCACCCAGGAGAGGCACAGTTCACCAAGTAGAGGAAGAAATAGTGACCGCAGCAGGGGCCGGTGCAGCCAGAGCCAGAACTGCAGGAGCCCTCACAGCTGGAGCCAAAGTTCTCTAGGTCCCGAAGTCATGGCAGGAGGAGATCAGGTAGCAGAGACAGAACTATTCAGAGTCCCAAATCCAAATAAACCTGTTTTATTCTTACAAAAAAATAATAGGCCAGGCGCGGTGGTGCACACCTGTAATCCCAGCACTTTGGGAGGCCGAGGCGGGCAGATCTCCTGAGGTCGGGAGTTGGAGACCAGCCTGACCAACATGGAGAAACGCCATCTCTACTAAAAATACAAAAAATTAGCCGGGCCTGGTGGCACATGACTGTAATCCCAGCTACTCAGGAGGCTGAGGCAGGAGAATCACTTGAACCCGGGAGGCGGAGGTTGCGGTGAGTCAAGATTGCGCCATGGCATTCCAGCCTGAGCAACAAGAGCGAAACTCCATCTCGAAAAATAATAATAATAACAATAACATAAAGAATACAACTTCGAAACAGCCAACTGGAAGTCATGTATAAGACAAAGGAAGATGTGGGAGGTGGAAGCGGTTGTGTGGAGCCTCCATGCCTCTCTGGGTGCCGTTGGTAGACTGGGGGAATTAATTCCCTGGTACTTCCAGCCTGCAAAATGAGCTCTTGCAACCAGTAAGTCCCCAGTCAAAGGGGTGCAGGAGGTGGTAGGTGGAAGCTGAACAGATTGTAGGTTTGCATATATGAGATAACGCCGCAGGGGACATAGAAGCTACACATGGCAACCCAAATATTCTGATCTCGGAAAGGAAGAGAGAGTGGATTCTTGGAACACAAGTCCACCCCCCCAAAAGCATCCCACACCAGCTCACTCATAAAGCTCCAAAGATGGGCCAGAAAAACAAGCTCTATACCAGGGGAACTTGGAGGCATGACAAGAAGGACAGAATGTGGACCCAGCCTTCTAAAGGAGAAAGAATCTGACAGAGAACAGTCCCAGAGATTTTGTGAAGGTCGCAGGATGGAGAGAAGGAACTGTAGCTTAAAAGTGGGTGAAGTTCTGCTACTCAGGAGGGGGGTTTGGGGTGGTAGGGGCTGGGGAGAGCAACCGTTCTTCATCCCCGGAGCAGGAGGCCGCTGACTTTTTGCAGATCCAGAATTTGGCAAGATTGCATTTGTCATCGTTCCAGCCATTGCCACTAAATTCCGCACAGTCTTCCTCCCCAATATTGTTGGGCTCTCCTTTGTTCCAATACTGCTTGAAGCTGCAAAGCGCATGCAGAATGTGAGCCTCTGTCCCCCACCCCCCCCGCCCCGGCTACATGAGCTGTGTTTCTACCTTCTGTCGTCTTGGTGCTTTAACATCTGCCCTGCGTGTTTGTGCTGGACATGAATCCCTCTGCATACCTGATAATATGCCTGACTCACGGTGCCTTGGGTTCCTGCCTCTCTTCTCACAACCTGTCCTTGGGTGGACTCCACCTATTCAGGGTGTGATTTTCAAATACAAACCAACCAATCTGGAGTTCATACCCCCAGCCACCTGCCTTACTGGGCTCTTGTACTCCAAGCCACTATCCTGTGCTAATCAACCCAAGGCCAGATGATAGACAGCTAGGGGCAGCCCCTGTGCCCCAGAGCCCACAAATGCTTCATACTTCCCAATCCTAAGCCTGTTCACCTGGCCTTGACCTTTCCTTTCCATACAAACCATAATAAACGCTCTGGCCCACAGTCACCCCTCCGCACCACTCTGCCTCATAGCAGACCCTGGTGCTTCCCCAGGTGGCCCCCAGCTGTGATGTGTCCTCTCTCTAGGGATCTGTGTATATGAGAAGCTACTCACAATGGTAGGTGTCTCCTGAGCTGGTGGCCTTACTAGACCTCAGATTTCCTATTAATACACTATATTTTAACACACCCACCCACGGGGTAAGCTCCTCCTGCAGCTCTGCTGGTGGGATTTTAGGCACCTGCTATGCTGTCTGGAGGTGGGTAAGAAGACCACCTTCCTCAACTCAGTAAAACTCCCAGATTCTTGGGTCTAGAGTGTCAGGGAGTTGGGGAGGGATCCCCAGGGGAAGTTCAAGTCAGAGTTGCAGAGCCCCAGCCCTAGCGGATGGAATGCCCCTTCTGAGGTCTACCTGGGCAACAGAGGTGAGCCATCCACCCATTGCCATGTGCCTTCGTGATGTAGGTCTGAAAGTCCCATCCAGGTGAAGCGGTTACTTCTGGAAGACTGCAACTGTAGGAAGTTCTGGAGGGTAGAGGAGGAGTCAGGAGGGAGCTCTGCTTCCCATTTTCCAGGCTCTGTCTCCCCATCTCTTGGCAAGAAGTTCTGCTTGTAGGCTAACCTTCAGCCTTCCGGTACACTGGGTCCTAAGTCCCCTCGTGTCTGAGTCCCTCTTACATGTGTATCCCACAGCACATGTGCCCTGATGTGCACACATCCATGCACAGCTAGCCTCTCCTCACACTCTCCTCACACACTCTTGCTGACACTGCGTGTTTATCCATTTTATACATTCTGTGCACGTCTGCACACATTTACTCATAACTGGGCTTAATGTATTGGAGCCACATCCATTTCCTAATTGCTGGTCATGCACATCTCCTTTCAGCTCTGCACTGAGTGACATCACATCGACAGCTTGAAATCAGACGCCATGGGAATATTTACACCAGGGAAATTGGCAAACAGAACGCATCAGGACTTCCTCCCCCAGAGAGCTGGTTGTTAACCACTTGTGGCATGCCACTGGGGGTTACTTATAGTTTACATTTTCCCCAGAGCTTTCACACATGTTCAGACTTGGTTTGTATCTGCTCTAAGGGTACTTGGGACTCCCTCATTCATATCCTTCTCTTCCCATCTTTCCAAGTGGAACAAAACCCCTCTTCTGCAAAATCCTCTTTCAGCATCTCCTCCCCTGTTGGCCAGAAGCCATGCCCCAGGCCAGGATGGGGACCCCCACCAGGTGTACCTGCTCCTCAGCACTTTTGATTACGACGAGCTGGGCCCCCACCTCCTGGCAGGCGGTGATGGAGTTGTGCCAGTTCCGCTGGGAGTTAGACATGAAATAACAGTTTCCTTGGAAGAATGTCCACTCCCAGGGACAGGGGCGGCACAGGCGTTCTGTTGGGGGAGGCCGGTCAGGGCTGGGCTCAGATGAGGTTGTCCATATTCCTGTATCTGTCCAGCCTTCAAGGTCTTGAGAGTCGGAGCCCTTCCTTCACTGTCCACGCTGGGTGGACCATTCCCCTCCCCACTTCCCGAGACCCTCCCCCATCCCCATGAGAACCTAGGAGTCCTGGCCCCATCTCCTCCAGACTAGGAGAAGTCAGGGCTTTAGAACTTAGAACAGAAGGCAGGAGACTGGCTTAATTCAGTGCCTACTGTGTACCCGGCCCACTGTAAACACCGAGTGCCATTATCACAGTTACCCTGTGTTCTCATTTCACAGATGAAGAAACTGTGGCTCAGGCAGGGTCAGTGACAAGCAAAGTCACACCACACAATGACCATCTCAGGCCCAAGGAGCCCTGGTTCCAGGAACTCACCCACTGCAGCCTTCAGCTGGATCAGCTCCTGGTAGATCTCCTGTTGCTTGGACCTGTCTGGCAAGCCATCGACTGCAGCCTTCAGCTGGGTCAGCTTCTGGTAGATCTCCTGCTGCTTGGATTTCTCTGGAAGCTCACCCACTGCAGCCTTGAGCCGGGTCAGCTCCTGGTAGATCTCCTGCTGCTTAGATTTCTCTGGAAGCTCACCCACTGCAGCCTTGAGCCGGGTCAGCTCCTGGTAGATCTCCTGCAGCTTGGATTTCTCTGGAAGCTCACCCACTGCAGCCTTGAGCCAGGTCAGCTCCTGGTAGATCTCCTGCTGTTTAGATTTCTCTGGAAGCTCACCCACTGCAGCCTTGAGCCGGGTCAGCTCCTGGTAGATCTCCTGCTGCTTGGATTTCTCTGAGAGCTCACTGACTGCAACTTTAAGCTGGGTCAGATTCTGGTAGATCGCATCTTGTTTGGATTGTCCCTGACTTAGGGAGCTAGGGACTTTGGACACTGGGTCAAGAAAGAAAAGGAACTGCAATTATTAAACACCTACTGTGTGCCAAGCCCTGAACTGAGCCCCACGGGGACATCATTTGTGAGAGCCAAGGTCTCCGTTAATCGCCTTTGAAGATGAGGAAAACTGACACCCGGAGAAGGCAGCACAGAAGGCCAAGGAGAGCCAGGTTCTTCCCCTCCTCCTCCTCCTCCTCCTCCCTCTCCTCTCCTGCCCTAGAGTGGGGAGGAGCTGTGGGAGAGGCCCCTACAAACCCCCAGGGACAACATCTTGACTCTCAACCTCACCTCCCTCCCAGACCTGGCTGCCCCAGGCTGTGTCCACAGCCAAAAGCCAGGCCTGGGGACCCCAGACCCTCAGAACCTGCGTCTGACCTTGGACAAGGAGCCCAGCCAAGAGCGTGAAGGAGAGGAGTTGCAGCACCAGGGGGCCATGGCCAAGACACCCTGAGAGAGGATACATGCGTCAGCCTGCCAGTGTCCCCACCTGAGCCTGGCCCAGGGGGAGCCTGACCTGAATCTCTCAGCACCCCAGGACTCAGGAACCCCAGCCCCAGCCCCGTCCACTCCAACACCTGGGAATCCAGGCCCTAGCTCGCACCTCCCCAGGACCCAGAAACCCCATTCCCAGCCTACCCCTCCCAAGGTCCCAGGAACTAGGTACCTGGTTCTACCTTCCCAGGATCCAGGAATCCAGGCCCCAGCCTCTATATCCCCAGGTCCCTGGAACCCAGGCTCTTAGCCCCCACCTCCCCAGGACCCAGGAACCCAGGACCCAGCCTTCCCCTCCCCAGGTCCCAGTAACCCAGGTACCTGCTCCCGCCTCCCCAAGACCCAAGAATCTGGGTCCCAGCCCATACATCCCCAGGTGCCAGGAACCCAGGCCCAAGTCCCCACCTCCCCATGATCCAGGAGTCCAGGCCCAGGCCCCCACCTCTCCAGAACCCAGGAGTCTAGGCCCCTGACCCTACCTCCCCAGGACCCAGGAACCCAGGCTTCAACTTCTATCTCCCCAGAACCCAGGAGTCTTGGCCCCAGCCTCCACCTTCCCAGGAACCAGGAATTCAGGCCCCAAACTCAACCTCCCCAGTTCCCAGGAGTCCAGGCCCCCAGCCCCACATCCCCAGGACCCAAGAGTCCAGGCCCCAGTGTCCAGCTCCTCAGGACCCAGGAGTCCAGGAGTCTCTCTTCCCTCCTCCCAAGCTGCTAACTCCTCTCTACCTGCTAAGCTCTTGTAGCCTCGAGTCTGTCGGAATCCAACGCCTCCCAGCTGTTCCTCCTCTGAATGGATAGACGTGAACTCAGAGCCTGGGCAGGCTGAGGCCAGGGTTGGCCATCCCTTCTCCCTTCCCAGAATCCCAGCGTCCCAACCCAGCCTCACCCAGGAGGCCCAGCTGCTGCAGTCTTGGTTCCTTGGAGTCACTCATGTCACCCCACTCTCCCGCAGTGTCCAGAACTCCTGGGAGCTGGAGCTTTTGTTTCCCATCCTGTGATCTTTACTTCCTAAATCTAGACTCCCACAGGAAGAGAAACAGGAAGTTGGGTAGGTATCTGTCACCCAAAAGGCTAGTGGAAGGGATCAGAGCATGAGATGGGCCGGATCTTTCAAGAATTTCAGGGAGGGGGTGGGTGATGGTTTGGGGTTGACAGGGAGAAGGACTGGTCCACTCGTGGATGGCTGAGCAGTGAGATGCTTTTCATGAAATCTGATAAATTGTAAGAGAAAGCTACTGTGTTACACCCCCTCCACCTAGGGCAAGGGTGGGCAGGTAGCACCCCCAGTTGCTGGAAGCACTGTCCCTTGTGACCTCCTGGCTTTCCTGCCTTGAGCTGCTGCTGTCCTCATTTTTGGGAATTCTTGCTGACTTTGGGAGTTGGGGCAGAATCATAATTGCTTGTTTATTTAATGCCTAGGCTAGTCAGGTACTTTTCCAACAGCTTTATAAACTCATTCATTTAATGTTCCTACCCTTCAGTAGATCATATGACCTCCATTATACAGATGGGGAAACTGAGGAGGCACTGCAAGGTTGGCTGACCGGCCCAAGGTCACATAGCTGGTAAATGGTGGGGTTGAGACTTGAACCCAGACAGTCTCACTCCACAGTGCATGCTGTTAACCAAAGAGTGAAGCAGTATCAAAGAGGAAAGAAAAGATCCATAGCAGCTTTATTTAGAATGATCTGAAATTGGAATAAACCCTGTGCCCACCAGCAGGTGAATGATAAAAAATATAATGGCATATTTAGAGATTGGAATACTACACAGCAATGAAAAAGCTAAGTACTGATTCATTTAATAACATAGATAAATCTCACAAAACAGGAAAAGGACCAAGACAGAGTGAGTACACACTGTAAGATTTGATTTTATGTGAATTTCGAGAACAGGCAGAACTAACCTTTGAAGGAGACTCAGAATGGGAATTATCAGGAAGGAACCAGTGGAGATTGACAATGGAGTTTCTGTATGCTGGAAATGTTCTATATTTTGATCATAGAGATGTGCATCTACCACATATGTGTTAAACCTCAATGTAAAGATGGAAAATACCTATATGTATCATAATCAAATAGTGGTTTTGACCTGATCTTTAGTTTGTATTCTTAAAATGTTTTAATTTTAGAATAATTTTGGGTTTATAGCGAAGTTGCAAATGTAGGAAAGAGATTTCCCATACGTAAATTTCTAACCTCGGGATCCCCAGTGTGAACCCAGTTTCTCCTAATGGTAACATTTCACATGGTAATGAGGTAGGAAACTGGTAGAACTTGTTTTTTGGCCACAACCCTGCAGACCTACACAGAATCTGGTCCAGATGAGATGATGTGAAGAAACCAGCAGGAACCAGCAGATGGCAACAAAAGCAATCTCTGGCTGCCTCATTGCTCGTGGGCATAAGATGCTCCCACCAGTGCCCTGACTATTTACCCATGCCATGGCAACGACCCAGAAGTTACCACCTCTTTCCACGGAAACAACCTGGATGTTGCCGCCCTTTTCCTAGAAACTTCTAAAGAAACTGCCCCTCAATTTGCATTGACCCATCCCTTAACTGACATATAACTGAAAGTGAGTTGACATGAGTATAACTACAGTTGCCAAGAGCTTGTATGTTGTTGACTCTGGGTGCACTGCCTATGAGTTAGCCCTGCTTCACAGGGAGCAGTACCATTACATAAAAAATCTCTGTCTAAGGCCAGGTGCGGTGGCTCATGCCTGTAATCCTAGCACTTTGGGAGGCTGAGGTGGGCGGATCACAAGGTCAGGAGTTCGAGACCCTCCTGGCTACATGGTGAAACTCCATCTCTATTAAAAATACAAAAAATTAGCCAGATGTGGCACGTGTCTGTAGTCCCAGGTACTCGGGAGGCTGAGGCGGAAGAATTGCTTGAACCTGGGAGGCTGAGGTTGCAGTGAGCTGAGACTGCAACACTGCACTCCAGCCTGGGTGACAGAGTGAGATTCTATCTCAAAAACAAACAAACAAACAAACAAACAAGAAAACGGTGGCTCACACCTGTAATCCCAGCACTTTGGGAGGCCAAGGTGGGCACCTGAGGTCAGGAGTTCGAGACCAGCCTGACCAACATGGAGAAACCCCATCTCTACTAAAAATACAGAATTAGCCGGGCATGGTGGCTAATACCTGTAATCCCAGCCACTTGGGAGGCTGAGGCAGTAGAATCACTTGAACCTAGGAGGCAGAGGTTGTGGTGAGCCAAGGTTGTGCCATTGCACTCCAATTTGGGCTACAGAGTGAGACTCCATCTCAAATAATAATAATAATAATAATAATAATAATAATAATAAACCAAATAAACAATTTAAAGTAAAAAACCTACATAAGTATCGCAATAGATCAAATTAAAGTGTTCAATAAACCTCAACAGTGACTCGTGATTTACATTTTTAAAAGTCTTAGTCAACTAAGAGTAAAAGGAAATATCTTTTTTTTTTTTTTTTTTTTTTTTTTTGCGATGGAGTCTCGCTCTGTCCAGGCTGGGGTGCAGTGGTGCGATCTCAGCTCACTGCAAGCTCCGCCTCCTGAGGTCATGCCATTCTCCCGCCTCAGCCTCCCAAGTAGCTGGGACTACAGGCACCCACTGCCATGCCCAGCTAATTTTTTGTATTTTTTAGTAGAGACGGGGTTTCACCTTGTTAGCCAGGATGGTCTTGATCTCCTGACCTCGTGATCTGCCCACCTCAGCCTCCCAAAGTGCTGGGATTACAGGCATGAGCCACCACGCCCAGCCTATTGTACACTTTATTTCTATTATTATTGCATTGTAATATATAATGAAATAATTATACAGATCACCATCATGTAGAATTGGTGGGAGCCCGGAGCTTGTTTTCTTGCAAATAGACGGTCCCATCTGGGGGTGATGAGAGACAGTGACAGATCATTAGGCATTAGATTTTCATAAGCAGTGTGCAACCTAGATCCCTCATATGCACAGTGCACAATAGGGTTCCCACTCCTATGAGAATCTAACGCCACTGCTGATCCAACAGGAGGCAGCGCTCAGGCAGTAATGCAAGCAATGGGGAGCGGCTGTAAATACAGATGAAGCTTCACTCGCTCGCCCTCCATTCACCTCGTGCTGTGCAGCCTGGTTCCTAAGATGCCATGGAGCAGTACTGGTTTGCGGCCCAGGGGACAGGGACCCCCATTCTACATCATCTCCCAGAGGCTCCCAGAGAAACTGAGTCCCAGTTGCCTACATGGGTCATAAGCTCGTCCATGCCTGTAAATTGGCTTCCTTCCTTTTCCTACCTGCCCCTCTTCACTTTCCTCCTTGTCTTCTGGTACTTCTTGGAAGTCCCTCCCAGATAAACAACTTGTATCAAAATTCTCGTCACAGGATTTGTCCCTGGCGAAACTCAAGCCAAACTTATAGTATGTTTTGATACCTGTCAGTCATGGTTCTTCTCCATCAAAATGTTCTCAGCTATTCTTGTGCAATTTCTTTTTTTAGATGATTTTTACATGACTCTTGCTTTAAAGGTTTTACTTTACTTTTTGAATAAGTCATGTGTGCACCTGGAACCAAAAGCCATCAGTCTCTACAGTGATAATGAAAGCTGGCTCCCAGCCGGGCGCAGTGGCTCATGCCTGTAACCCCAGCACTTAGGGAGACCAAGGCAGATAAATCACCTGAGGTCAGGAGTTGGAGCCCAGCCTGGCCAACGTGGTGAAATCCCGTTTCTACTAAAAATACAAAAATTTGCTGGGCATGGTATCACGTGCCTGTAATCCCAGCTACTCAGGCGGCTGAGGCAGGAGAATCGCTTGAGCCCGGGAGGAGGAGGTTGCAGTGAGCTGAGATCACACCATTGCACTCTAGCCTGGGCGACAAGAGGGAAACTTGGTCTCAAAAAAAAAAAAAAGAGAGAGAAAAGAAAGAAAGCTGGCTTCCTCCCCATTCTCTGATCTGAAGAAGTTACTCTCCCTAGTTGCAACCTCTATATCATATTCCTGATAATCCACTTATTAAATTTGTTGTAAAATCTGTTTGGCAATCCTTCAATAGAATTTTGAAAATCTGTTTGTGAGTAGGTGGAGCACAGAGGATTTTTAGGGCAGGCAGGGAAACTACCCTGTATGATACTGCAACATCGTTACACATTTGTTCAAAGCATAGAATGTACAACGCCAAGAGTAAACTCTGACGTAAACTGCAGACTCTGGGTCACAATGATTTGTCAGTACAGGCTCATCCATTGTAACAGTGCACCACCCACTCTGGCGAAGGATGTTGCATAAAGGATGTTAATAGTGATACAAGCAAGTTGCTCAGCTATTACCTCATGTTGGTGCTCTCCAAAGCTCAGCCCTACCCAAGAAAATCTTATGCGTCAGTATCTAATTTTGGGGGGCAATTGGCAGAAATGTCCATCAAGGCGAATGTGAATGTTTTGGAGAAAACGTCAAATGTAAGCAGACCACCGTGGCGTGCTGCAAGTGTTTTAACAGCCACCTCTCAGGAGGGAAAGTATCAGTACTTTCGGAAAACTTAAAGGCCGGGAGAGAATGGGATGATGTATTGAGAGTGCTGAAAGAAACAAACTGTCAGGCGAGTGACACTGCTGTAATCCTTTGCAGTGAGTCACTCAGTCCAGCTCCACTCAAAGGAGTGTAAAAATGTGTGAACATATGTTAAAACCGCCATGCTAATTAGTAAGTATTTGAGGGGGAGGCGAAACTTGGAGGTTATGGATCTGCAGCATCTCGGCTCTTGCCTCATCAGAGGAAAGAATTCATCTAAGAAGAATAAGGCAGAAAGTGAGACTGAGGCAAGTTTTAGTGAAGGAGTGAAAGTTTATCAAAAAGTTTTAGAGCAGGAACAACAGGAAGTAAAGTACACTTGGAAGAGGGCCACCCAGGCAACTTGAGAGACTGAGGTGCTCAGTGCAGCCTTTGACTTGGGGTTTAATATGTTGGCATGCTCTGGAGTTTCACATCTCTTCTCCCCTGATTCTTCATTGTTGAGGTGGAGTTTTGTTC